CCTCACAAAACTAAACATAATATCTTAAATTTGGTTTCCATCCATACTATAATCAAAGTGGTACTTTAACAACATTGGAGGAAATTGTTTAAGTATATACTTCAGTTCCAAAGTATTACTCACAAGATATAAAGATTGCCAATATGTTATATCCACAAATATCTCATTATTTCCTTGAGGTACATCATTTGGATGTAACTAATCAAGCATTGCTTTTGCTCATTAGAAATGCTTCCTAATTAAGGAAATTTATAAGATGAGCACGTATAGGATAGCCTCTTTTTTAGTGTCCCTTCATTTTATTTTCTGTCCCTCAAATTTCAAATTTTCTTTCTCGTTTGAACACTTGCAAAGGTATCAAACATTGATCTTTTATAAAATGCGAAAGAAGCGTTATATTTGATGAATAGTTACCTAACAATGAGATAAATATCTCTCACCAATCATATAAGGATAGAAAATAATTCGCAAAATTTTAGTGTTATAATAAAACTCTTATATCATCTATAATGGTTGAGTAGTATGCTTTACTTATACAGTCTACTTCAAATATCGTAGTTAATAAATTTAAAATCTTTAAAGATTTATGATTTATCTATTCTTTATTTTTCTTATAGAGATATATCTCAATCTCCTATGCCAAAATTTAAGGAGTTTCTCTTAGTGATAAACATATTTGGTGCCAACATAATTATTATGATCAAATGTAGTATATTGCTCAATTCAAAAGATGGTACTGGAAATTTTAGAATTAATAACTTTACTATTTTCAAAATCTACAACTGGATAATCAGGTTCATAATCATACCCACTAGTAATTAATTTGAAAATAGAAATTTTAAAGTAATTAGAAAATAATGCTTTAGAAAAACAAATTTTCTTGAAATGAGGTATTATACATCACTTATCTTAATGTGAACATTTTTAGTCTTTACAAAGAAACTTTTGTTCACTTTCCATATAATCAAAAACTTATTATACTGATAACATGAATTGTTAGATTTTAGTCAATTTGCCAAATATATCACAATTTATAAGACTCAACAATTGAGATTTTCTTTTGAGGTACTTTCTCTCAAGGTAAAGTATGAAATGTTACAGAAATAATTCAATCTCAATTTAATATTCAAGAATGAAATGTTACATAAATAATTCAATCTCAATTTAATAGGACTTTAATTCATGATATAGCAAAATTCTTATCTTTTCCAAAATGAGTTAAAATACATTTCAATAGTTAAGTGTCACAAAAGAAAGCCCTCTGATGGTGCTGGTTAAAACTAGCAACAATTTCTTTATTGCTTTCATGCAAGATTTAACTATAAATAATTAGGGTTTGAACCCTATTTTATGTGAATATGAGACGAGATGAGCAAAACATTAGATTACTCCTAATTCCTATACTCAACCTCTATATTAGCAAATATATCCAAATTATGAGAATGGGTTGCTTATTCTCATAAAATCTAATTCAAAACTTGCGCCCAAAATAGAAGGAGAATAAATTTAAAAATCAAGCTAATAAGAGTCATAAAATCATTGGAATGAAACACTAAATTAACAATCATAAAAATGCTATAAAGTTTGTACCTTGATTTTGAATCAACCTTATATCAATTCAAATATGCATAGAATTTACTTTCCTCAATCATAAGACTAGTAATCTAAAACAATAAATTAAAGAAATAATTCATACCTATAGGCACAGAAATATCTCTTAATTTACTATCTAATTTACCATCTTATGTCAATTAATCTCACCAAAATAATTACCTCCATGTGGGGTTGGATAACTATTTTACTTTATGACTTTTGTTTGCAGCATTTTTTTTAAAATTTTGATAAGTTATAGCTGTAATTTTTTTTTGGTTCGTTATTTGTATGATATATGGCGACAATATATGATTTTCCAGGACACAAGATGAAGGTTCCTCACTCAATTTCCAGCCTCCGACCTTCTTTTTGAACTAGAGTAAGAAACAGAATATCTATCCATCTAACTTTTAATGCATGATTTTAATTTTTTGTTTAACACCTAAACAAACATTTTATTTTATTCCATTTTATATTGTTACTATTATTTTTTTCTACTAAGGTATGCTTTAAGGCTATAGCAATATACGAAATATAATATTTGCCCATCTTCGAGAAACTTCAAGATACAGAGGGCGTGAAGTTTAGACTTAACTTCTTTTCTCTAAGGAATTATCAAACCTAATTTACTTTTTTTGGGCCTGAATTTGTTCTTGCTATCCCTAAAAAAGTTTGAAAGTGCTACCCTCCTATAAGTATTCCAGGTAATAAAACTAATAGAGTAGTTTATTGGTGATTATGTAAGTTGTAGGTCACAAATTTTGGCACCTAGTTTCCTGATTAAGGTATCCTCTTTTATTCATGTTTAATTTAGTTGCCGAGAAAACAATTAATGATTTACTATATATTTTGACTTTTGAATTATGGCATTTGGCTTAACATTCTAGATTTTTAATATTCAAGTTAATGCCTTTTCCTGTTTGATTATTCTTCCTTTAGGTTTCAAGCTTTTATTTATACCAACTTCGTGACTTCATTTGCTTGAAGTACTTATCAATTGTTATTTGATGCTCTACATGCTTTTGTTCTTATGGATTTTGATTGTCTATACTAAAATATGAATTTAGTTGTGGTCTATGTTAATGAAGTTTGTCTATTGAGTTGATGAGCACTGTTTTCTGTGTTTGGTTTTTAATTTAATTTATCCTTCTTCAACCAAAATAAGTTTTGCCGGTTTGATAATACAACACAAAATCAATGTTAGGTCACTTAGATATGCAATGCGCCTGGTAAATTTGCTTTTCCTGTTCAACTACTTAGGAACACACTTTTTATTCTTGATACACTTTGAAAATCATTACCATTTATGAGTTTGATTATCCAATTACTTATTTTCCAACCTACAGTTAGTGTCAGATGCCATCATGAAGATGGCTTAAAACAAGAACTATGATCAAACACAATTCATGTTTGCTTAACATTTTGATTTTTAGTCGCTTCTTTTCAGTAAATTTCAAATAGATAATCTTGCTATTGTTTGTCAAAATTTGATACTTCGGGCATTTACTTACAGATATATTATGTTATGCATGTCATTTATGATTGACTTTAGTGTAAGAGTTCTCTGATTCTATGCCTATGTAATTTTTGGGTTGCTACTAGATTTTACATTCATATGTTCTCAAGCTGTCTTGACTATTTAACATGTCAATAAAGCATTAACTAGGAATGGTTAAGCACTTTATTGGGGTTGGACAGTCATTTGTAGTTGAAAATGATGAGACTCACTCGGATTGAATAGAGATGGCCTCAATGAAAATCCAATTTAGATTCTTCCACCATTTTCCTGCTGAAGTGATAGAAGCCTATGCTTTCAATTATTGAAAACTTTTTTAGCTGATTGGTTCTCATAGATTGATCTTCCTTTAAAGCACCATTATTTTTTGTTGCCCTTGAGTCTATCTTTCAAATTGTTTTGATTATCGTTGCCTTATTTTTTTTACAGGTCATGATAGGTAGGTTTGGTTCAATTCTAATTCTTTGTTACACCTTTCTTTCCTTTAGATATAGTTTTGAAATTTAGATAAGTATTGTTCTTCATTAAGGTGTATTATCTTTGCCCACGTTGGTATGCATTCCCCTTTCCCTTTTCTCCATCTTATATTCTCCCACTTCCCTTTCATAGTAAAAATTAGTAATTTTACTATTGGTCTTGCTTATTTTGTGTTAACACATTTACAGTTTGTTTGCTCCACTCCTGTTAGTATTTGCCATGTGCTTGTTCTTGGTATAATTTGTTTGTTTTTGGGTCTTCTATTATAAACTTGCTGATTTTTTCTATTTTATGTGCATTATTTTCATCTTCATCTTGGATTAGAAGGTTTGAAGGATCAAACTACAATTTTTTCTAAAAGGTTAATTTTTTAACTTGAACTTATTCTCTCAACTGCCAAAGGGTGCAATTCTTGCTTATGTCTTTCCTCTAATTTATATTTTGCGGTGGTATAACGAGAGAGATAATATTTCTGTCACTTTTTATAAGAACTTCAAGCTTGTAATTTGCCAACGTAACAATTCAGTTGCACTAATGGAGCACTCCATTGTCTTCCAAAATGAGAAATCATTCTTTTATTAAGATACAATGGAAATCATGTTCTTTTACTTCTTTGGGGTTTTTTTGCTCACAAATTTATAGGCAATATAGACACTGTAGTTGTCTTTGTTTAAGCTAGAAACATTATCCAAGTAATTTGCTTACAGGTGCTTTGGCTCATGGATTTTGGTTTGAGATTCTGGGTCCTACGAGCAAAGATGAGTCCTTCAGCCTAACAACAAAAAATGTCCATGAAACAATTGCTAAGTCCTTCGATACTACACAAAAAAACATCCTCATCAGAAGCTGCAGCGAATGGGAGCTTGGCTTTTGAAATTGCAGACCCTAAAACTATTGCACCATTTGCTGAGAAAACAGGTCATCGAATCTCTCCATTGACTATTGAGGAGGATTCCACTGAAAACAGGAATCCAGTCTCTCCTAAATCTACTGAGATAAGCCCTCCGAAGAAAAAGCGTGATGCTCTGATATGCACTACTGAATTTCTAGACTACTGTCCTTTACTCCTTTTGGCATCACATTTTAGGATCCATTAAGATTCAATCTGTCATTAGAACTTAATGGATCCTAATATATGATATTATATAACTATCAAGAAATATAAATTAAGCAATCAGCATGCTAGCTTATCTTTGTTTAGAACAAGACTGCATTAGAAGGTATATAGTTGCTTCTAGATTTACTTGATAGTTACATAAATGACAATTCTGTTATTAAGCTATACTTATGTTAATTATGTCTTTGTTATGTGATTAGGAATGATATGTGAGCTTATTGATAATGCCGTCTTTAGACCGTATAACATGAAATTTGTAGTAAGAGGGACATGAGTAAGGGCATTTTGGAGGGACAATTCTCGGCTATTTATTTTGCCAACAAAACCGACAACATTTATTCAATATCAACACCAGTCACAGTTGTATTAGCACATCATAGCCGCTTCTTCAAAGGAGTTGGTTCTTCTGACTTAGTTGTCGTAGACAGAAACATTAGGCCTTGGCTCAAAGTCTTTCGCGAAAGCTTTGTCAGTATTATCCCCATACGCAGAAACGTTAGGCCTTGGCTCAAAATCCTTCACGAAAGATTTGTCAGTGTTATCCCCATAGGCAGAAACATTAGGCCTTGGCTCAAAGTCTCTCATGAAAGATTTTTCCTCCTTCAGTTTAGCATCATCTCCGTAGGCAGATACGTTGGGCCTTGGTTCAAAGTCTTTAACAAAGGACTTCTTGTTTGTTGCTGCTACAGAATGTTTCTTCATTGTGTCACAATCACTAGCGATTTTCTTCTTGTTGGAGAGGGCCGAAGCAACATGGGCAAGCTGCTCAATTGCTTCGAACAAAGCCTGATCATTTCTAGCAACGACACTCTGCCAGTACTCTCCAGGGTCTTTTCTTGCTTCTGTGAAGCCGGCAAACTGCAAGAATGTTCAAAAGTTACGAGTAAATTTAGATATTATTAGCTCATATCTCGATTCTTGTATCTTTTATCACTTTTTAGTTTCAATTGATCTAATCTTTTAGGGCAAATTACACTTTATCCCCTGTGATTGTGATTTAGTGTTTTATTACATAAAACACTATAATTTTTAAAACTATATATAACCCCCCATAATTTGGATTAAAGTATCAAAGTAACGGAATTTGTAATTCATAATAGACTCAGTTAAACTATTAAAAATACCCCTATATAAAGTTAAAAATTATTTGTTAACTATAGGGAGTTATGTATATATATTGAAAATCATAAGGAGATTATATGATAAAACACTAAATTATAAAAGGATTATATGATAAAATATAAAACTATACGGAATTAAAGTGTCGTGCATATTATATTTATATATTTTGATCACTTAACCCATTTTATTCTTTAAATAAGGATAATTTCGATATTTTCATAGGATCCATTATAGATGATCATTTTCGATACTTTAATACTTTAATCTAAATATAATTTTTAAAATTAGAGGAAAATTATGTAAAAATTAGATATACCATAAGGAGGTAAAGTATAATTTGCCCAATCTTTTAATCAACTGGCTTCACAATCTTAGTACTCCATCTAGGATTGACTCGAGACGGTATTGGGATATTCACCAATGTTTTAAAAAGCAAAAGCTGTAAGGTAAGGCGTTTTATGTTCATCTAAATGGGGCGAAACCCTCGAGGTATTATGATTTATTAACATTTACTACTATAAAAAAATATAGTCTAACAAGTAAAATTATAAGACAACAAGCACAACTACAACTTATAGATTAGCTATCTAAAGTCATTTTAGTCGAAAATAATTATATCTTAGCATCAATAGAAAGGGAAAAAAAAAATAGGAAACAAAGTCATAAATGCTTCTACTTTTTATTTTCCCCAAATAATTCCCAAAAACAGAAAATAATTTGAATCTTTCTTCAGAGTTACTAGGCAATATGCAAGAGTAAGTACATGAAACAAAGATAGGAATAAATAATACCAAAATCAAAGTTGAAACTTAAAAAAAAAAGAGAGAGAGAGAGACAAATAAAACGCCCCAAAAACCTAAACACCCCCGCATTCGACCCACTCTACGATGCTTACGCCCATTGAATGGGCATTTGGAGCTTGCCTCATCCAGGACTCGGCCGGAAATGCCTTTTAAAGCATTGGTTATTCACAAAATGAATTTCATCAAAAAGAAATTCCTGCAAACTTGATTAGTTAACTTCTCACCAGGGCCAGTGAGAAGAGTGCAATGAATGCTAAAGTTGAAGCCATCTCCAATAGCCTTCACAGTCAAATCATACCCCAAAGTCTTGCGGCCACAGGCTACTTATAAAGAGAGAAATTGCTGTGATGAATTTTTAACCTTTGCTTTTTTTTTTTTTGGATTTAATTTATGAACAAGTTTCACTATGAATCACGTGGGACGTCAATCAATCACAAATAATGATATAGAAATACGGCCAAAAGATATTTGCAGTTCTGGGTCCATATAAGGATAGCCGGATAATTTCCCAAGTCATTTTCCTTAAAGTTTTGGGACAAGCTATGTTCGATACTTCACTCAACCAGACAATGAAGGTCAGTCTTTAAAATTTGATTAAAGGCAGACACTTGTATTATCGTTGCACGGGCTCAGCAGCCTATGCACAGGAGATGAATTTATGTCGCGTCAGTTTTTTCTAGTTAACATATGCTCTTTATTGTTTATCCATCACGTCAGTCTTTTCTTGTTAACATATGCTCTTTTTTGTTTATCCTATCACATGAACATAATCATTGCATGTTTTTCTTTATATATCGTCTCAATTTAATTTTAATTTTTAAAAAAATAAACAGATCTAGATCTATACCTAGCCCTCGTGATGTCACCACCAAAAGAACTTTCTATGGAGCTCCACTCGGATACGAACTTGATGAATATTCTCTTCATCCCAATTATTTAATTATGTTTCCGGAATTTAACTTTTAAAAAATAATAATTTAATTATGATGTTTGTGTTTTTTTTTCAATTTTATTCTCATAAATTTAAAATTAAAATTTAAATAATAGCATGCATATGATTAAAAAAAATTATATTGAAAAGAGAAACTAAAAGGTGTTTTGATATTTTTAACCGCACAAATGTTTTGAAACATTTCAAAATAGAAAATATGACACTTTTAATAGGACGAAGAGAGTGCTAATTTGCAAATAGGGTGGTTATTCAAATTGTCAACTTTGCATTAATTAAGCGGACCAAGCTGACACCCAAAAAACCATTTTGCTAGATTAGTTTGGCTTGTTCAAGTTGATTTCATTTGATTTGACTGCTTGAGAGTTTTCAGATATTAAAGTAATTAAGGTAAGTGATTAATCTGATGGAGGCTCGACAACTAGGATTTGATATTAGCCACCAGAAAGATGAATGTCCAGTTCCTACTCCTAGGGCTGTGCATCGAAATCGAATTCGGTAAATCGGAAGTTTGAAATCGGAATTTTTCGAAATTTGGACATGAATTTTTCCGACCGATTTCGAATTCGAATTGGCCAATTCCGATTTCGAATTCAATTCCGAATTCACCGAATTCAAACCTGTTCCCTTTTTTTTCTCCTGTTCAAAAATGGAAAAACCTGTTCGTATTTAATGACTTCCCCAGTACTGGAACGGTGGAACACAGTATTGGAATGGTTAATCCAACAAAGGGGAAAAAAGGACAAATTGGATCCTTTCCTTTTTTTTTTGTCTGGACTAAGAATCCAACATGGCAACAGTTTCCGCTACCCCAATTTGGGTCACAGGTTCAGGTTCTCCTGTCCATGATTTTGACTTCCCTTCATCTAAAATTACCAAAAGAAAACATTGAAAAAAGATACATTTCCTTTATTTTTAAAATTGTGGACGTTATTGTTTCCTACCCGATGGTTCAAAATTGAAATAAAATCCACGGGAGTTTGAGGTGCGAGGGAGGATGAGTCTAAGATAGGGAGGGACAGAGCAATCCAAAGCAAAAAGGCAGAGGCTTTGATATCAGAAGCTATTGGAAAGAGAAGAAGGGTTACCGAATACTGTGGGCGTTTCTGAGGAATGGCAGAGCTTTGCTTGGTGGCTTCACATGGCTCCCATCCTGGAAGTAGTGATACCATTCAAGAACCAATCATAATATAGATGTGTATTCTGCCACCCTTAGATCAGATAAAGAGTACGAGTATAAAGACTAAAGAGTACGAGGAAGGAAGGTGGAGGCGGTGGATGCGGAGGAAGGCGGTGAGGCAGTGACACTTGAGAGACGATGAGGAAGAGGCGGAAGAGCTAATAGATCAGGTTTTGCAATTTCAATTTGCGCTTTTGCTTTTTTGTCATTTTGGAGGTTGATAGGTTGTTTTGTAATTTTTGTTAATTGTTAGATGTATAATGTATTAGTATTATTGTTATTAACTTATTATTTTATATAATATAAATTATATATTACATATATAATATATTGTTAAAAAATATTATATTATATATATATTATTAAACGAAATCGAAATCATAGTTCCGATTTCGAATTCCGATTTCGAATTGGGAATTCGAAATCGGTAATTCCGATTTCAAAAAATATATTTTCGAATTCGACCCGATTTCGACCAATTCAAAATCGGAATTACCGAATTCAACTCCGAATTACCGAAATTCCGAATTCGAAATTCCGAATTCAATTCGAAATCGATCTCGAAATCGAAATTTTTCGACTTTGCACACCCCTACCTACTCCATAATTCATGAGTGACCTCCATGATAGACCTGCTAGTATTAACTGCATAGAATTTTTTTTACCCAAACAATACTTGCTCGTCTTATCCATCCCAGCAAAAGAAATCTCTCCCATATCCAATCCTTTCAGATCTCTGATCTGATGTGCTTTTAAAAAGAAAATTAGAGGAGAAGTGAGAGAGTTTAAGAAAATTTGCCTTACTAGTATCAATTGCGTACTCCCTTCATCCAATTACTTAGTCATGTTTTAGAAATTCAACTTTTTAACAATAGTAGTTTGATTGTAATGTTTGTATTTCTCTTTTCAATTTTATCTTTACAAATTCAAAATTTAAATGTAAATAGTAATATGTATATGATTAAAAAGAAGGGTTATATTGAAAAAAGAAACTAAAAGATATTTTGACTTTTTTAACATAGCAAATATTTTGGAACATCGTAAAATGAAAAATATGACACTTTCAACGAGACGAAGAGAGTATAATTTTTCCCCCTAGCAGTACTTGCACGTCTTATCCATACCAGCAAAAGAAATCTATCCCATATCCAATTCTTTCAGAATCTCTGATCTGATGTGATTTTAAAAAAGAAAATTAGAGGAGAAGGGAGTGAGTTTAAGAAAATTTGGCAATTAATGGAGAGGAGAGAGGAGAAATGTCTGAAAAGTGGGACTCGGCATATTACGTACAGTCATAGAGTGGTTGCATGGTTCGTTTTTTCTGCTTTTTATAGAGCCATGCTTATCTCTTTTTGCTTCCAGGATGCAGCAAAAGAAGTGCTTTTCATATTCTCATTTGAGTTCCAGGACACAAAAGAATTGTTACGCAAAACAAATTCTCAGACAAAATGCACATGAAGGACGACCATGGTTTGATAACGAAGTCGTTGGCGTTTTATACTACATTTCTGAAAAAGCCGAATTTCTTTCTGCATATTAAATGGATGAACCTGTTTAAGATTTAAACAGAACATTACAAAGCAACACCTGTTGTAACGGTTTTATTGAAGCCCAAAGTATGCGATTGAGCCCATGTACAAGAAATGCGACTGCGATTGAGCCCATGTACAAGAAATGCGACAGCTTTGTGAAGTAAAATTAGCCCATTGACAACAAAACTAATCTTTTATTAAGCCCGAAAGCAAGTGCCCAACAAGGAGGGCATCTCACCATATTTTGAAAACCTGCCTAATGCGAAAGTTTCTTAGTAACTTTTCAATTTGAGAATCCATTCAGAATAAGAAATTTTCCATTTGAAAAGCGCGTCACAAGATTTTACAAAATATCTAGACATGTTTGGTAGGGTTATGTAGGACGAGTTTTGTGATATGTCAAATAAATCATGTCCATCAACAAGTTACTAGTGTTTACTCTAGGTTTGGAGCTATCCTATCCTCTCGTTTGATACATAGGAATGCCCATAATGGAAAGTCTTTATCACTCAATATATCTCCAGCTAGAATGAAAGGGAAAATTTTTTATTACTTCACAGTTTGGTAGACAAGTCAGAATAGAATATTTATTCAGTTGGTAAGATGTTGGAATGGAACATAGTAAATACAAATTTGACTTCTTTCCCTCGATTAGTTATAGGAAATAATATATTTTAGTACCTTTTGTTTTATTTGTTCTACATTGGTATATGTCTATTTACATGAAATTTTGACAATTTTTACTTTAAGAATAAATGAGGATCGATATCAAAATTCTTTAATTGTAATACTTGATTTGTTTTAACATTTAGATTTTTATGTTAGAGGTTTGCATCTTCTAACAAATATAATTAGCATTGTGAATTGATTACATAAACTCAAATTATTATAATTTACTTTTTAATAAAAAAAATTCTTGCGCAATTGTTTCAAAGTTAAAGAATTAAGTATCTTAAACCATTTTTGTCCAGGTAAAAAAGAAAAAAATTATTTTAAACACAAGAAAATTATTTGTTATGAAAATTAATTCAAATATCAATGAAGTTTATAAATACATTAAGCTATGATCATATAAGGATAAACTCAACATCCTGCTAATTTGTCATTCTAGAATGAAGGTAAAAAGAGCTTTCCCAAGGTTTTTTTTGAGGAATGGAATTCCAAGAAAAAGTTGAAATGAACATTAATGGGAGAAGAGCTTTCCCATTTAAATGATCAATACCAAATGTTGGAATAGAAAGGACAAATTGAAAAGACCTTTTCTTTTTATGACACTCCTACACACCAAATGAGACGTAAGTTCATAACTTGGCTTTATTCATTCAAGCAAGACTAAGGTAAGAGATAATTGCTGCTCTCTATAAACTTTTGAAAATAAATTTATGAAAATCCATTTATTTACACCTATATTTTTATTTGAATAAGAGGTATGTTTGCTTGTGTTCTATGTTTGCAAAATTGTGGTATAATGAATGAGCGGCATGGTTTTTTTGACTTTTTTACGACGACAAATGCTTTGCTAGTAGTCGGGGATTGTTCTCTAAGCTAACCCCATGTTTCAAGTAAGGTTCGTTTGATAAAATTAAATCTGAATTCTGAAGTCTGAATTCTGAATTCTGAATACTGAAACAATTAATTTGCTGAATTTTAATTACTGAAAAGAAATATATGAATGTCTGAATTTTAATGTTAAATCTATTTATACTGTTTGATAAACATTTATAACTGAATGCTTAATAAGTTAAATTTAACAAATTTGCCCTTATATCTTTTCATCCAAAAAAAAAATAGAACCTATGATTTAATTAACTAAAAATGTTAGGTATGAAAATGATAATATTTATTTTTAAATCAAATTAATATAAAAGATGAAATATATTATATGTGGAGTATGGAGAAGATGTGAAAATCATTCAAAAGGGAGAAAAAAGAAATAGAAAATCATTAGACAGAGAATATTAGATTGTTTAATTAGATAAGAATTTTGAACATAATTAACAAACAATAGTAGATTTGGTAGATAAGATAAGGTAATTGAAGTAATTCTATTGATTCCTATCGGAATTAAGCATTTAGTTAGTGTCGCGCCCCATTTTTTGAATAAATAAATAAATAGGTTTAAAAAAATGTATTTTTGATTCGATTTTTGGTTGGAAAATGAATTTTGATTTAAAAGAAAAGTGGGCCTCAATGGGGGTTTTGAGGATGCGACGATTTGACCCAAAATTATAGTTTAAAAAGGGTTTTTTTTTAAATAAAAAAATCGGAGTCGCCACTTGGTAATGAGTTAAGGTGTACCAAATCACCTAAAAATGAATTTAAAGAAAAAAGTAGTAAGAAACCCCTTTTAAACGACTCCTAGTCCACGTAAACCAACGAAAAAGGTGACAGGTGTCGGGCCTGTGCAATAATAAATACCTACTCGAGAAAAATGAATTTTCTGTGTATAGTAGTGAGTAGGGTCGAATCCACAGGGATTGGAAATCTTTCGATTCTTTTCAAGTTCGGGACACGGGGGATTTTTATCAGATAAAACTAAAAATAAATAATTAAACAATTTAACTAAAAATAATTAAACAATTTAACCAAAGATAAATAATTAATTAATACAATTGTAAATAGCAATTAAATAAATGATAAATAAATTCTAGCCAAGGATACAACTACGCAGACACAGTCCATTCATCCGATCATTGATGCAAAGAATGTTCACTTAATTTAATTAATAGGCTAGTTATAGCCGCTGATAAACTCTAACGACCAGCTTTTCCTTAATTTATTGATAACCAAGGTACGACCGTTGATTACCTCTAACCAGCAAATACTCCTAGGTACGACCGTAGGAATTAATTTCCTAATTGCATTAAAAACTAGAAAAACCTAGCCCAAATTAATAACACGCTACGAGGGTTATTTAAATCAGATTGCATGTTCCCCTAGTATGTGAAAATACTAATTGTCACTAATATTAACCAACTAAACAATTACGGATTTAATTGATTAATTTGACAAGAGATTAAAAAGTCAAATTGCACATCGGGCCCTTGATATCCAATTAACAAAATAATCCCATGGAAATTAAAACAGAAAACATGCAAATATTAACAAATTAAGGAACACGTAAAATTAATTAGATCTCACAGATATATGGGACTGCGTCGTCGCGTTGATCCTTGACTAGAGGAGAAAATTAGCCACGCCTCATAAGAAAATTCCCACACAATTCAATTGAATTCGAAGACATAAATAACTCTTACTAGTAACTGAAAATGAAAATTTGATTCTCCGTAATCTAATGCAATAAAACTAGTTTCATGGAAGAAACTAGTTGAATGAAAGAGACCGAAGAAATAAAAAAACAAACTTCTGGAGAAAACTTCACACCCAAAATCCAACAAACCAACCAACTACCTATTCTACCTACGGAGCTTCTTGAAGAGCAAACTAAAAACTAGTCTCTCGCTTATGAAGCTATCATCTGATATATATAAGGCAAGCCTTTAGTCTTCATAGCTTTTTCATAGTCTTTTCTCCTTGAGCCCACTAATCTAGTGCCTTGTTATTTTATTGGAGCACTAGTCTCCCACAATAATCAAAGCTACGTAGGAAGCAAATAGAAAAGCTACTTTCATCATCAAAGTCCACCTATGGCTAATGAGTACATC